CTGCCCCAGCCTGGAGCTCTGCAGGGGGTTGTTGTTACCCAAGACCAGGACTTGGCCTGTGGCCTTGTTGAACCTCAGCCCATGGATCCATCCTGGCCAGATCCCTCTGTAGAGCCTCCAACCCTCCAGCAGATGAGCTCTCCACCCAGCTTGGTGTCACCTGCAGACTGCCTGAGGGTGCCTCATCCCTCCTCCAGACCATCGATAGAGACTGAAGAGCACAGGGCCCAGTCCTGAGCCCTGGGGCCACCACGTGTGACACCGACTGGATTTTAACTGTTGCCTCCTTCCTGCCTCTGTTTTCCCCCAGGAAGCTGGAGACAACAACCAGTTTTGCTGGAGGAACCTCTTCTCCTGCATAAACCTCCTGCGCATCCTGAACAAGCTGACCAAGTGGAAACACTCCCGCACCATGGTGAGGGGCAGCTGGGGGTGCCCCTGGGTGCCCTTCTGCAGCACCCCAGACTTGGCTGGGGGGGTGGAAAGGGAGAGGAGGGTGCACACTGCAGGGAAGAGTTGGTCTAACTCAAAGAGGGAGATTTAGACTGGAGAGAAGGAAGAAATTGTTGCTGCTGAGGGTGGTGAGCCCCTGGCCCAGGCTGCCCAGAGAGGTGGTCGCTGCCCCATCCCTGGAACCATCCCAGGGGAGGTTGGATGGGGCCCTGAGCACCCTGCTCTAGCTGGGGATGTCCCTGCTCAGGGCAGGTGGGTTGGACTGGGTGACCTTTGAAGCTCCCTTCCCACCCAGCCCAGGCTGTGATTCCCTGTCTCCCTGCTGCTCCCCACAGATGCTGGTGGTGTTCAAGTCAGCTCCCATCCTGAAGCGGGCGCTGAAGGTGAAGCAGGCCATGATGCAGCTCTACGTGCTGAAGCTCCTCAAGGTGCAGACCAAGTACCTGGGCAGGCAGTGGAGGAAGAGCAACATGAAAACCATGTCAGCCATCTACCAGAAGGTGCGGCACCGGCTCAACGACGACTGGGCCTATGGCAATGGTATGTCCTTGGGCACCACCTGCCAGCCTTCCTGCTCCCTGCTACCCCTCTTGGGCCCTCAGCTGGCCATTGGCTGC